TGGGAAGACAGTGCCTGTGGCCTCAGTAGGAGTGACAGGTATTTGCCTGTACACCCTTTTTGTGAATTGTTACCCCGCCCCCAACAGTGGGGCAGAGTGGAGGAAGGAGGAAGAACCTAGAACACAGGTTCTGTGTTCCTGCCCCTCTTCCTCTTGAGCCCTTTCCTCTCCCAGGGCAAGTGCTGTTATGTCCCCTTTACTCCCTGCCCTCCATTTTTCACTTGGTGAGGCCTTACACCCTGTACCTGCCCACACAAAGTGTCACTAGAAGGAAGGAAAAGGGTAGTTGGATTCATTTGCCTGTGTGGAGGTAGGATTGGTCTTTGTAACTATTCCAGGTATGTCCATAAGTCTGCCTAGGAATGGGGGAGCTGCCTGGGTGGAGAGGGATTTTTCTAGTTACTAGTTATGCATTCACATTATTTTATCTGTCACTGGGTGTAATTATAAATTTGTGTCTGTGTGTGAACATGTTAGTCTTTGTATGACTGTGTGTTGGCATTAGTGACATGAACTTTTAATCTTGCCATTTGGCCCCTGGGTATATGGCTGTGGGTGTTCTGTCACAGTCACCATATATGCTGTGTGCTGTGTTCGTATATGTATATGCAGTACATACCAGTGTCAGCATAACTGAGTGGTTAGGAACACAGGCGGCTTAGATTTAACTCAGGAGCTGTATGATCTCAGGTAAGTTATTTAGCCTCTCTGGGCCTATTTCCTATAAAATGTAAATAATAATAGTACTTCCTAGACTATTGTATGGATCATTTTAAGAGTTTAACTTAATGTATAGACCAGTGCTGTTCTACAGAAATATAATGCAAGCCACATATATAATTTTTTTATGGTAGCCACATTTTTACAAGGCAAAAAGTGAAATTAATTTTAGTGATGTATTTTCTTGAATCTGATACATCTAAAAGATTATAATTTCTTTTCTCTCTCTTTTTTTTTTTTTTTTTTTTTTTAAGACAGAGTCTTACTCTGTTGCCCAGGCTGGAGTGCAGTGGTGTGATCTGGGCTCACTGCAATTCTCCTGCCTCAGCCTCCCAAGTAGCTGGGATTACAGGCATGTGCCAACAGGCCCGGCTAATTTTTGTATTTTTAGTAGAGATGGGGTTTCACCATGTTGTTCAGGCTGGTCCTGAACTCCTGACCTTGTGATCCACCTGCCTCGGCCTCCGAAAGTGCTGGGATTACAGGCGTGAGCCACCGCGCCTGGCCCAAGATTATAATTTCAAAATGTAGTCAGTATAAAAGATTAATAATGGGATATGTTACATTTTGTTTTTTATTCAGTCTTTGAAATATGATGTGTATTTTACATTTCCAGCACATCTCAGTTCAGACTAGCTGCATTTCAAGTGCTCAGTAGACACATGTAGGTGGTGGCTACTTTCTTGGACGGCACAAGTATAGACCATTATAAGACCCTTACCAGCTACAAGTGTTACTATCATTCTTATTGTCATTTATTGTCAGGTATCTGTGAGTTGTAGATGTCCATGTCTTGTGTCTCTTGTCTGAATACATCTGGAGCCTTCGGGAAGAGGAATGGGAGAGCAGTCTTGAGCTCTATCTCCACCACCCTCATCCTAGAGAGGCTTCCTGGGAAGGTTTCAATGGGAACCCTGCCCCAGCTTGTTTCTCTGGCCCTTGTCCTCATAGCACCAGTCCCCAACCCTGCCTTCTGTGCCTTGCGTACCCCACTGTCCTCCAGAAACCAGGCTGATTGTCCCTTGCCCCATCCCCTGCAGGTGGCCAGAATGGAGTTTTGGCCAGGGGCATGGATGCTGCTGCTGCTGCTCTTCCTGCTGCTGCTCTTCCTGCTGCCCACCCTGTGGTTCTGCAGCCCCAGTGCCAAGTACTTCTTCAAGATGGCCTTCTACAATGGCTGGATCCTCTTCCTGGCTGTGCTCGCCATCCCTGTGTGTGCCGTGCGAGGACGCAACGTTGAGAACATGAAGTGAGGGGCAAGGGGTCTTGGGCAATGAGGGAACCTAAGGGCACAAAGCGAGTAGTGGATTGGGGGAAGGGGGCATGGTGTGTGTAGAAAAGACAGACAGACCAGAGACAGGGAATGGGGAGAGGACTGCAAAGGTGGTCAGAAAGACAGTAGGGTTGGGGGGAGCTGAGGCATGCAGATGGACATCAATGGATCCCACTGGGACCCCTTGCCGTGACCCCACAGGATCTTGCGTCTAATGCTGCTCCACATCAAATACCTGTACGGGATCCGAGTGGAGGTGCGAGGGGCTCACCACTTCCCTCCCTCACAGCCCTATGTTGTTGTCTCCAACCACCAGAGCTCCCTCGATCTGCTTGGTGAGACCCCACCACAGGGCACACCTCCCCCAGTCATGCCTCCCCTCCTGGAACCTTCCCTAGAATATCTTCTCCTTGAGATCCTTAATTCTCCTTCCTCTGGGACATTGCCCCCTTGTCTCCCGCTCAGGCCTTCATTCCCTGGGTAGAACTGCCCTCATAAGCAGGGTACATACACCTTTGGTTACCCTTTCCTTCACTTGGGGCTCCCCCTGCCTAGTCTCCTCCTTCACCTCCAGTCCCTACCAGAGTGGGTGATGATCTGGGTGAGGTGGGTTGCTTTCTGTGACACTGCCTCCGCCCCAATCCTCACCCACCCCCACCCTGCCCAAGGGATGATGGAAGTGCTGCCAGGCCGCTGTGTGCCCATTGCCAAGCGTGAGCTACTGTGGGCTGGCTCTGCCGGGCTGGCCTGCTGGCTGGCAGGAGTCATCTTCATCGACCGGAAGCGCACGGGGGATGCCATCAGTGTCATGTCTGAGGTCGCCCAGACCCTGCTCACCCAGGACGTGAGTCATCCTGGGGAAATGGGGGATTGGAGGGATAGAAAGTAGAATAGTTGTAAATAAACTGATATGCAGGGCCAATGGGCCTCAGAGGTCCCATTATAACATCACACCTACTCTGACTCCTCCATATGTGTTTGTCTTCCTTGACCTTCTTTCTCCCCCAGGTGAGGGTCTGGGTGTTTCCTGAGGGAACGAGAAACCACAACGGCTCCATGCTGCCCTTCAAACGTGGCGCCTTCCATCTTGCAGTGCAGGCCCAGGTGAGTACTGCTCCCTGTTCTGCTACTCAGCTGCCCACCCCCACCATTCCCTCATGTCTGGGCAGGGGCTTATTGTAGGAGTCTCAGAAGAGAGCTGTGGACTGACCTGCTTTACCCCTTCCCCAGGTTCCCATTGTCCCCATAGTCATGTCCTCCTACCAAGACTTCTACTGCAAGAAGGAGCGCCGCTTCACCTCGGGTGAGGGCTTTGAGCAGTTCTGGGGTCGGGTGTGTCCTGAGAGGCTGGGAGGACATCCCTGTGAGGCAGGGGGATCATTCAGTGTCAGAGGCAGGGGGATCATTCAGTGTCAGAGCCATGAGATGTCCACACGGTCATCTAGTTTAACCCACAGCAGCCAATAAGTCTTTACCAAGCACCACCATACCCTGCCAGGTGGGTAGCACTTGGTGCCACCAAGAGAGGCTGTTACTAATCTAGCAGGAAAGATAAGGCCTGTGTGCACAAAGCTGTAATGAATAACACTCATTCAGCAGTAAATGCCAAACCTGGAGGAGGGGGGCTGGAGGAGTGCTGAGGAGATGTCTGGACTGGGAATTGGAGAAGGCTTTGTATAGAAGGGCCTCAGAAGTGGCAGCTGGCAAGCCCAGGGATGGTTGTCCAGGGTTGGGGGAAGAGAACTGAAAGGTTGAGGAAGAGTATCCCTCAGAAGCTGGGCCCCACCTGTGGGCAAAGACCTGGGTGGACAGGCCCTGATGGTGCTCCCCTTGCCCCAGGACAATGTCAGGTGCGGGTGCTGCCCCCAGTGCCCACAGAAGGGCTGACACCAGATGACGTCCCAGCTCTGGCTGACAGAGTCCGGCATTCCATGCTCACTGTTTTCCGGGAAATCTCCACCGATGGCCGGGGTGGTGGTGACTATCTGAAGAAGCCTGGCGGGGGTGGGTGAACCCTGGCTCTGAGCTCTTCTCCCATCTGTCCTCATCTTCTTCCCCACACCTACCCACCCAGTGGGCCCTGAAGCAGGGCCAAACCTTCTTCCTTGTCTCCCCTCTCCCCACTTATTCTCCTCTTTGGAATCTTCAACTTCTGAAGTGAATGTGGATACAGCGCCACTCCTGCCCCCTCTTGGCCCCATCCATGGACTCCTGCCTCCGTGCAGTCTCCACTCTTGACCCCCACCTCCTACTGTTTTGTCTGTGGGACAGTTGCCTCCCCCTCATCTCCAGTGACTCAGCCTACACAAGGGTGGGGAACATTCCATCCCGACAGTGGAGTCTCTTCCTGTGTGGTCTTCTCTCCCCCTCTACTCCACATTGGCCAGTGGACTCATCCATTCTGTGGAACAATTCTCCCCCACCCCAAAGTCCATGGATTCAATGGACTCATCCATGTGAGGAGGACTTCTCGCCCTGTGGCTGGAAGCTGATACCTGGAGCAGTCCTCCCAGGCTCATCCTGGGAGCTTTCCTCAGCACCTTCACCTTCCCTCCCAGTGTAGCCTCCCATCAGTGGGGGCTGGACCCTTCTAATTCAGAGGTCTCATGCCTGCCCTTGCCCAGATGCCCAGGGTTGTGTACTCTCTGGGATACCAGTTCAGTCTCCACATTTCTGGTTTTCTTTGTCCCCATGGTACAGTTCTTCAGTGGACCTGACCCCACTCAGCCCCCTGCAGCCCTGCTGCACCATTTCACCAGACACAAGGGGAAGAAGCAGACATCAGGTGCTGCGCTCACTTCTGCCCCCTGGGGAGTTGGGGAAAGGAACAAACCCTGGCTGGAGGGGATAGGAGGGCTTTTAATTTATTTCTTTTTCTGTTGAGGCTTCCCCCTCTCTGAGCCAGTTTTCATTTCTTCCCGGTGGCATTAGCCATTCCCTGCCTCTCGCTCCAGACCTATTCCCACAACTGGGGAGGTAGGCTGGGAGCAAAAGGAGAGGGTGGGACCCAGTTTTGCGTGGTTGGTTTTTATTAATTATCTGGATAACAGCAAAAAACTGAAAATAAAGAGAGAGAGAGAAAGATCTGGGTGCTTGGTGGTTGCATTTGTTAAGGAATCGAAGAAGCAGTTCTTGCCCAGGCAGCCTGCCCCCAGCCAGAAGATTCAGGGGTGGGCCCAGAACACAGGCCTCCCCCTTTCTTCAGCCCTCTGAAGTTTCCATTGTTGGTTGCTCTTTGGTGGTTGATAGCCTTATCTGCAGCTCACAGTCGGCCAATCCCAGAGGATTAGTGGGTCTGGCTTCTGTATAAATTAGGGGTGCTGTAGAGGCTTCTTATCGATGACTGAGGCCAGGGCCCAGGCTGTTGTCCTCACAGGAGCCTGGTTAATGACATGGCAGACACAGTGGCTGTGGTCAGCCTGGAGTGGACTACACTGCCACTCTCACCAAACAGTAAGTGAAACTACTGGGCTGGGGACAGGATTTCAGAAGAGAACGATGGTGAAGTGGAGAAGCATGAGGACAGTGAATGTTGGAGAGGGGGCTTGGAGAAAAGAGGGCGTGCTTGAATGGGGAGGGGTCTTGGGGAAGGCTGGGGAATAGAAGTCAAGGCGGGAGGAGCGTGAGGACTCACAGGCACCTAGCCTCTCCTCCAGCAGCAGCACCTGGTCGCTGAGAGATTCGATCCGGTCACCCCGGCCCCACAGCTCAGCCACCTGTTCTGGCTGCAGCTCTTCAGGCGGCATGGGCAGCACCGCTCGGACCCAGGCCCCAGCCTGACTGGCCCACTACAAAGGAAGAGATGCCTCAGGGTATGGATAGTGACGTCTGGCCTCACCCCACCCAGCAGGCTTAGCTTACCTGCTCCAGCCGCTCCAGGCGCCCTCGCAGCTCGCGAATCTCCCGCTTCAGAGCGCGCTCGTCTTTTTCCGCCTCCCGAACTAGGGACAAAGAAGACCAAGAACATAACCACTGCCCAAGCCTGGACGCCTGTCCCGGGTTCCCCCGGTGGCCTGTATTCCTGCCCGCTCACCGGCCACGCTGAGTATGCTGGCACTGGTTGGGGGTTCTGGGTACCCCTCCGTGCAGGTGCGCCCGTCCAGGCCTAGCACTAGGTCGTGCGGGCAGCCGCAGGTGAAGCTGCCTGCGGTGTTAAGACAACGGTGCGAGCAGAGGGTGATGCCGGTCCTACATTCATCCACGTCTAGTTACCGAAAAGAGGAAGGGGCTGAGAGAGGGGGCGGGGGAAAGCGCCAGGGTAGGTGGGGAGGACAAGCTGACTCACCCACATGACAGTGCTTCCCTCCCCAGCCGGGGGCGCACTCGCACTGGTCAGGCCTAACGCAGACGCCTCCGTTCTGGCAAGGCTTGGCGCAGATGGCTGCAGACAGAGAAGTGGGGTTCAGTCTCTAACCGATGACCCAGCTCCCCAGCTCCGTGGGGCGCGCCTCCCCGCAAGGCCTGGAAGACTCAGCCTCACCTTCACAGGTGAGTGCCCCCGGGTGCCGCTTCTTCCAGCCCTGGCAGCACACTGCATGGGTCTGCTGCACCTCCCGCCTCACCTCCCGCCACGTAACGCGGTACGTGGTCCTGGAACACAGCGCCTGGCTCAGGACCCTGAGTACGGGTCCTGGTCGGGGTTCTTGGGGTCCCGTCTCCCCATCCCTCACCTGTAAGTGCTGCAGATGCGCCTCCCAGCGCACAAGGTCAGGTAGGGCTTGTACACTGGTTGGCTGTAGGACTCGTTATAGCGGAGCGGGACCACCAGTGTCTGCTTGGAGCAGACTCCCTGACTGCGTCCATGCCAGAGGATGAGGTGGGAGAGATTGAGTAGGCCAGGCCCTGGGGAGCCAGGAGTCCCACTTCCCTCAAGAGGCTACTGAGGCCCCGCGCCCCCTCCAGATGACAGCCTCTCACCCCCATTCTAAACTTTCAGTTAAGTTTTGCCTCCTGTCAAGCCCCATCCCCAACAGAAGGCTCCCGAGAAGAGCTCACCCGGGTCCCACCCCCTCTGTTGTCACCTCTCTCTGAGGAATCCACCCTTGGCCCCCTCGCCTGATATCAGTAGCAGGAGGAAGGAGAATCCGCCTAAGAGAGTCCACAGCTCAGCCCTGGACCCCATGATTCTCTTTGACGCTGGACCCTACAGGCTGCAGGCAAGAAAAGGTTAATGGATGTCCTTCCTCTCTCCTATTAATTTCTCCAGCACTAGTCCCTCCAAGGGCACTCTGCAGGTGCCCTCTAAGGGAGTCAGGACATTCACTGTTACATATTAGCCACCAGAATTGCCTACACCTGTGTGTACAACCCAGCGCTATCCTATCCTTAGCATATCATGATCCATTCAGCATCATAAAAGCTCACATCCTAGCACACTCCCTCCACCTCCCCTCTAACCTACTTCTCATCCCCTCTGCACAACCTGGAGGGACACACAGTCAACCCTCCCCTTATGACCCTCCTTTTTTTTTTTTTTTTTTTTTTTTAAGGAGTTTCACTCTTATTGCCCAGGCTGGAGTGCAATGGCACGATCTCGGCTCACCGCAACCTCTGCCTCCCAGGTTCAAGTGATTCTCCTGCCTCAGCCTCCCAAGTAGCTGGGATTACAGGCATGTGCCAACAGGCCCGGCTAATTTTTGTATTTTTAGTAGAGATGGGGTTTCACCATGTTGTTCAGGCTGGTCCTGAACTCCTGACCTTGTGATCCACCTGCCTCGGCC